AAGAGTTTATTCCAGCTATTTATCTAAGGAAAAATAATGAGATTGAAAAAGTTAAAAGAATTACCTCTTGCACAAAAAAATTATTATAATAATAAAAAAGACATCATATCCACAAGGAAGACTAAGCATTTAGCTAAATTTTGTTTATCATTGAACTAATTTAAAAGCAGCATCAAGAGATATTTTTAGTAAGAGACGATGAAAATGTTCAAAGTTTCAGTAAACATCAACATTTTAAAATAGCTATATTTAATTATTGGCATTCTGCAGCAGAAATAGGCCTACATTGAAGCGCTGAAAAAAACCTCTTGTGATTAAATTAATTCTGGAAGAGTGGGCTGAAATCTTTGATGTGTGCTCATTTTACGCAACGCAGACAAACCCTAATTTTTCGCATCTTGAGGAGCCTATTTTACTTCCTTGGGATCATCTCTGTTCTTTCGTATCGGAAAACATAGGAACGTTGCCCCTAGCAGTATATCCAAATATCCAAGAATCCCCAAGATGATTCAGCATCCTCTGCCGTAGCATAAATTTTACTTCTTTACACCGTGTCATCATATTTAAATGCTAGTTGGCTAGTTGTTTAGACACAAAGCTAGTTGTTGTCTAACGCATCCACTACCTTAATTTTGCATTCTATCAGCTAATGTTGAGCTGAAAATGAGTCATCCTCTTTAAGGATTGCAGATGAATACAGACCTTCATTAGCTGCCAATCCTGTGACCTTGTGAGACGAAACATGATTATAACCGCCTTTCTATAAATCTGTTAGTCCAAAAACAAAATATTGGATTAGAAATATAAAAAAGTAGAGCAATCAGTTTAGAATTAAATACCAATTAAAACCATCAATTCTTCTAAATAATAAATATAATAAATATTGTCAACAAATGTACAGTAAACATTTTTCCCATATATATATATATATATATATATATATATATATATATATATATATATATATATATATACTCACTGTATACTGTGTAATTATGCATCTGCATCACTGCACATAAATACATAAATCGTGACCAGATACATTTCATGTGGCATCTGGAATCTTATTCTTGACGCTAAGGATTGGATACTGTCACAAATGGTTCATGCGATTATGGAGCTACCGTGGAATCGGAGAGCCTGGGGCTGACCAAAAAAAATCAGTGTCTCCAGAAGACTGGATTCTGCTCAGGTCCTTCAGGTCTCTGAAGGACAATTGCTGATGTTTATTAGAACACCGAGCCCTGGGCTCCCCTTAGCTGTGATGGTGACGCACATCTCAATGGTCAGGTCTCCTTCATCGTCAAAGCAAATGTGTATATAACATGCAGACATGCATTTCTTTTTGAGACTTTTGGCATATTTACGTAAGTACAGAAAATTGTGAAATTTATCTGGGCCGTCTGCAAGAGAATTACAAGGAGGTTTCACAGTATCAGCTGAAATGGCTAAAAGCCTTAATGGAAATTGTAAATGTACCTCATTACCCAGCCAGTTTTTTAACACTGACCGTCTCAGAAAAGTCTTGAAATGTGGGGCTCAGCTAATTCTTAAAAACAATCAGCTTAATGATGTCGCCCCTCCCCCCCTATTAAAGCATGAAAAAAATATGAATGACCGTTCATGAAATCAGAAGTAATTCTTAGCTGTAAGTAACAATAAACTGCAGTTATTATCAAAAGACCTTCCATGTTCAGATGTGGCATTAATGCTCCTCTTGTAGCTTAATTTTATAACTGCTGCAGCCGAACTACTTCTGCAGGCCCCAGTCGTCGTTTGGATCTGGAGGCCTTGTCAAACCATATCAGTGTCAGATGCTGACTGCGCTGATAGGGGATGATCTCTCGGCAGGTATTTGGAGTCAGAACCAAGTTTCTCCAATTCACCATGACCCAGCCAGACATTGGTGGGGGGGGGGGGGATGCGCAAAGACGCCATCTTTCTGAACCAAAGTAGTTTTGGTTTGAGTGTTTGCACCATCAAAGCCAAAGGTTTCTAAAGAACATCTAAAATATTTAATTCCCGAAGAGATTATGTGTTAACCTTACTGCCGTGGGAGCAATTAGTTTACGTCGGCTCTTGGAGACGTAAGTCATGGTTCTGGTGAATAGTAGGCTAAATTAGTCTGCGTGTGTTTAACCTTCTGATAGCTTTCTGTGATTTTTCACTTCTGTGTTTTGTATCATGCAGAATCACATTGTAAAGACTTCAAGCCCCTCATGGGAATCGGATCTGAGAGAAGTGTTTCATTTCAGCTGTGTTTTAATATCACTTCAGCCTCAAAGTGCTAAATACTGGTTTATAGTATGTACTCTTTGGAGATCAATGGAACAGTCAACAACTCTGGTGTAGGGGGGGGGGGGGCTGTAGGGTGTTTGTGGGAGGTCTGGGTTTGGTTCCAAAGCTTACTTTGACGTCTTAGTTACCCGTTCTCAGAGCACATGCCGTAACCATGACAACTGTTGGTCTAAGTCAAGATATTTTTATTCTTCATCTAGATTTTTTTAACACCGATATTGTGATATTGTGGTAAAAGGCTTGATTATTCATAATTTTGTGAATATTTAAAGAATTTTAAACATAGAGAAAAAAGTAGCCCAAATTACATCTAAGAAATATTAAATATAAAATTATTTTTTAAGTGCCATGAAAATGGTGGTGTTTATGATAATGCAGCACATTTAGCTGTAAATTGATTTTTTTTATTTTATGTGTATTGCATTGTTGCTGCATAACTATAATTTGATTGGAATTTCTTGCTTTAACAGACAATTACTGCCAAGGGATAAAATCCAATAATAATAGTTAATCCCACCTTTTCCCAAAATCCATTTTAACTGTGCTTTTAAGCTTTGGACAGAGATTACCAGTGCCGACCTAAATCTCATCTAATACTGAACATGTATGCAATACTGCTAAGCTTTTTGTGTATTTATTTTACAAAATACTACATTGAAATTATTTTTCAGTTTCAGTGGGTACATGGTTACCAAAGTGTTTGATTTAACCTGGCATTTTCTGTCATGGAATTTTGTCTTCAACATTGCTTCTAGGACTCGTTGTGCAGTTTTTTTCAGGTCGTCGTACCAAGACTAGTTTATAACTTGATTAGATTAATATGTGTACAACAGGAGGGCCGTCTTCTGATCCTAAATCCATCTTCTAACCAGTCCCAAAACTTCGCTATTCCCTTTGATGAGAAAACATTGAAACATATACAAAAATATTATTATGAGCTCACGATTGGATAATGTTGTGATATTATTTTATTGGTACCTCAGATTGTGTAGACTTATTACAGGCATGAGAAATATGGAAATATGGTGCAAATTTTGGAAGGGAGGTCGGAGTATTGGCAAATGGGCCTGTTAATTTATTGCACTATTGTATTCAGAAAGACTAATATGTAGCAATGGTCCAAAACTCAAAGCACCCCTTCTGATGTACCACTAGTTACACATCTGTTATTATTGTTATCTTTGAAAAATTGTAATCAAAACAGCCTGTCTGGATGGACTTCCTAAGGAGAGGGACTGACGGCATCGTGGCAGGAGGTATGGGACCCCGGCGGATCTGTGAAATGTGCGTCTCCTGTGTCACACATGAGCTCTCTCTCTCTGGCGGCCGGGCCGGTCTCGGAAGGCAGAGCGCAGAGGGGAAGATTGCAGAGCGGCGTGTGGCAAAAGAGGAAGCCAAGCGACAAGCAAATGGCTGTCACAAACCCGTGCTGCGTCAGCGGCGAATGGGCGCCGAGGCAGACAGGAAGTGCAAGTGCCACAGAGAGTCACACGGGCATCGGCAGCACACTGCTGTGGCCGCACCAGCTTGTTGTGGGACTTAGAGCCGGACTGACGGCATAAAAACAACCAGAAACTGCACCGCAAATCCCTGTGGGAAAGATCTATGTAGGTCATGGATCATGCGTGTGCTTTGTTAAGTATAGCATGACTGTTATCTCATGCATGATTATAACCCATTTCACATGTCACACATGCCTATATTTAGCTATTAGTCATCAAAATAGAGAAAATATGTAATATTGTAGGTATTACATGTATAATATCTACAGTTTGTATGCACATATATAGTTAAATATAGTTTATACACACACACACAACAGCATATTCAGTAATATATATATCTGTGCATTTTCCGGAATTGCTTATCCAGTACAGGAGCCTATTATTTGAATTTTTTTTTGTTTCATATACATTTAACATTAATAAATTAATGTATTATCTGAAGATTTTTTCTTCCTATGGCCAGTGATATTTTTTATGCTGCAATTGTACACATACTCATAAACTTTGCGAAAGAAAGGCATACCTTTGCAACAGTTTTGTGACGAAATAACAGATATAACAAAGATATCTGCACATGACCAAACAAGCATCTATCCATTTATGCTCAACTAAAATAAATAAATAAATTAAAAAAAAAAAAAAAGTATTATCTGTTTATTTCTTGCTTCGGGAAATTTTATTGTTAATAAGTATTTCTCTGATGGCTAAATGAAAGAGGACTATTACCATTAATAAGAAAAGTGGCATGTAAACGAAGGGATGAAATGCTGGATGGAGGTGGGGAAGGAAAAGCGTTGATTTTACCTGCATGTCAAATGTAAAGGACGCATATAATAATACGCATATTATTAGCATCGGTATAATTCGGCTTATTAGATCAAATAAGAGGAAATGCGTCCTACGTTCAGTGACGGGGGGTGTATCGGTCCATTTCTCTGGACAGTCTTAATCCAACCGTGTTACCTTAATGTCACTCTGTGGACCCTGTGGCGGCTCCTCTCTTTGTGTCCATGCAACGGGGAAGAAAGGATGACAGACGGACACTTCCAGCCATGAAGGAGGGAGGAGAGGTTGTAAGGACCTGGAGAGCCCATAGTGCAAGTGGCTCCTGTCAGTTCCAGACCACGCCCATGTCTCCTGGGTCGCCCTGCCATTGGTGCTGCCGCCGAATCCCAGCAACAGCTCGCGCTGCCACCTCCCCTTTGTGTCTCCACAAAGGATCCATCCAGTGAATGAACTGAATCAAGCACAAGCTCTAGAGATAGTAGGAACGTCTCTTCACTCTGTCGCCTGCTTGAGAGGAATCCAGGGCTTCCTGACCTCCGCGTACACCATCCAGGAGCGTCTGCTGTCTAGACATCATCTCCGTTAAGCAACCATGCAGCTCTGGAATAACGACTACTAAAAACACGCTTTATTTATCTAATGGTGTTCTTCATAACCTTCTTAGGTTAAAGACGTCTTCTGCCCTGACTGTTTTTTGGGAGTAAAATCAAGCCGGCGAAGTTGGAATTTTTTGGGAAATTTGTAGCGGCGGAGCGCGACATCCATCCCGGGCGCGACACGAGGGAAACGTTTCTCCGCTGCTCGTGCTGTGAAAGTCCGCCAAGACGCCGCGTGCCGTGCTCCGCGTGAAAAATGCCCAGGCGCGGTTGGCCAAGGCGGCGCCCGAGCCGGCGCCCACCCCGGGGCTCTACATGGAGCGCTCGCAAAGCCGGATCAGCCTGTCCGCCTCCTTCGAAGCCCTTGCCATCTACTTCCCCTGCATGAACTCTTTCGACGAGGATGATGCCGGTAAGCACGCGTTTCCCGTCTCTTTTCCTAAACCCACGCTTTTGGCTGCGTTCGCCGTGACAGGGACGCTGTGGCGACATCCAGGCGTGAGTTGCTAGATTTTCGTTTGCAGAATATTGAGCAGAAACGGTCGAATATCGAGAGAAAACGTGTTGATGTTGTGAGAAAGGTATAGCTTCAAGGGGTGTGGAAAGTGTCAGCTGAAGCCATAGGTAGACTGGACTGATTTTGGTCCTGCTCAGGAGCCAGCAGTCCTGATGCAAAACAAACCCCATCAACCCTGCCTGTCTGGGTCCACCTCCTGTCTGGAATAAAAAACAGGGGGTGCCAGCAGAAGAACCTGTTAGGAAATGATTTAGTCTTTCTCATTTTGCTCTGGGGCACGGGGTGGAGGGTTATTTGAGGCTGGAGGGACTTTAAATCACCATTTCTTCTGTATGATGGACCGCGGAATGGCCCCTCAGCTTCGCCTTCCTTATTCTCTTGTCATCACCTTTAACAGTAATAGTGGATGCTTGGCTTGTCAAGGAGAATTGTGGCAAATCTCCGAGTCGATTCCCTTAAAAAGCACGACAGGCAGGCTGTGGCTCGGCGGTCCACCATGACAGTGCTGCCCATCTAATTTAAAGTACTAAGAACTGTTAACTGATTTGGCCTCATAGGGAAATGATTTATTCTCTTCAATCTCATTACCCGGGGCCACGGATGCAGCTGAAACTCTGACCTATTCTTCCTGCACAGAAACATCAACATACACAAGATACCCAGAACCCAGGCCGCTGACATAGAAACACAAGTGCACACTCTCACACAAACAGGGATGCTTTCCATGTCTGTTCCACTTTAACCCTATATCTATGTCAGCAGGTGACAATGCTTTGTGCATTCATCCGTACAGTCTGAAGTTTGAGTGTTCAAAGGGCTCTATCTCAAAGTGCCGCCCAACACCATTGAATCTGGAATGACCCCATTTCTCCGTCTTTTCCCATCTGCTGCAGAAGCCTTATGCATAAATCCATACAGTATGGCCTGGTCGACAGGAAACGAAATCTCATCAAAAATGCATGCAAATTTCCTTGATATAATGCTTTACTCTAAAAGAAAAAACTCACTAAATCAGATGTATGGGTTCTTATTTTAATGGTAAGAGCTAAATTATAAACTGATTTAAAAATGGCAGGGAATTTGTTCTGTGCAAAATGTAAAAAATTAAAATGTTACAGATGCTAATTATGGCAATACAACAGTGTGTCTTGTACACAAATGCGTACGTAGGATTTGAGTGCTGGTGTTAGCATTGTTAGCGACTGTGCTCTTTCTGGCGAGCTCATTATTGTCTGGGAAGACTGGGAAACTGAATAAATATTTAATGCCCCTTGAATGATCTGATGTGATGTGTGATTACCTGCCAGGTTTTTTAGAAAGTAATTTGAAATCTACAGTCAGGCAGCGTGTTAGCAAACAAACTGGAGAGAAAATGGACCCATAAATGCAGACACATTGGGGAGTAAATTCGTTTTCTTTGTTCAGTTTTGCATAAAGAAACGATAATAGTAATTATGTTTATGATGATGGCAGAGTGGCTCAATGAGTTAGGGGGTTGTGATCGGAAGGTTGCCAGTTCATATCCCATGGTTGTGATTTCTCCATTTAGTCCTTGAGCAAGGCCTCTAACACCGAGTTGCAATAAGGACTGACTGACCCTACTTTCTTAATTGTGTCTTGCTTTGAATAAAAGCATCTGCTAAGTAAGTTTAACTGTAAGATGAAATTTGAAATATAAACAAACCGATAGAAATAATACAGATAATTGTTATAAAAAAAACATACTACAGGATAATGAAGGTTATGTGCAGCGTAGCCTTTTCACCGGAAGGTGTTGGCCTGTTGACCTCACAGCACAATACTTTGCCTGCCTTGATTCATTAGATCAATAAAAACTTGTGAAGCTGGAGATGGCCATGGGGAAACCCTCTGCTGGGGTAATAATTACAAAATCAGTCATAATAAATGCACAGGACTGTGGGGCTTGATGCCTGACTGACGCATCCATTGATTTTTATATAGGAAACGACAGCAGAACAGCAGAAAAATGAGCCACATCCTGTTTCACTAACGAGGAACAGGTGGGGTGAAAAGCGGTGGTGGAGCAGGGGTGAGATGGTGAGGAGCTTCTCAGGGGCCTTTCCCCCCCACAGACAGAGGATGGGGCATTTAAAGCCTTCCGCTAATCACCATCCTCTGCCTGTCTGTGTGTGCACCAATAACTTATAAATGGCAACTGAAGGATCTTGGCGTACGATAACGAATTAAAATAATACGAGTTGTGAATGCATGGCCATCAAGGCAGTTTTAAATCGTAGACTCTCAGGATAACGGAGTGGTTTGCAGTCAATTTCTGGTTTCTTACGTGACCAGACACGGAACCTTCCTTTTAATGTTCTGGCATTATGGAAGAATGAAACACAAGATATAGCACCAAGGCAAAATTAAATGGTCAGCTACAAAATATGCTCTTAATCAGGGGTGGCCAATCTTATCCGCAAAGGGCCGCTGTGTATGCGGGTTTTCGCTGCAACTCCCTAATTAGATTACTGATTAGAGGACTGATTGGCTGAAGAGTCCCCACACCTGGGTTTGAATAGGTGACCTACAGGTTATTCCAAAAACCTGCATACACACTGGCCCTTTGCGGATACGATTGGCCACCCCTGCTCTTAATAGAGGAGAGAAATGGAATTAAGCAGACCATTCTACTAAAAACTAGAAAAGAATGAGAAATATATGGTGAGAAGAGCTAGATTATCAGTGAACCAAAATGCAAAATGAGAATATCGAACTACTATTGAGATTCATCTCTCTGACATGTAATCAGTACCCTTGTTGCAAAGATATTTCCATTTTGACCCTAATTGCTTTGTGCTGATTTTAAGATCTGTTCTATAATTAACACAAGCCATGTGGACCACTACAGAAAATTAAAGATTTTAATGCTAAATTTGGTTTAGTTTAACTGGAATCACTAGCTAAAATGAAATTTGCCAGCTAATAGCTAGCTAAAATTAGTTTATTTCCTGAAAAGAAATATTACAATATTTCGATTCAAACTTTGTAAAAATAGCATTGCTTTCTTTTTTGCTGTCAGATAGTCACATAAGATCCCCCTGTTTGTTTATTTCAACATGGGAATTTATGGTAAATTAAGGTCCCTTTTTGTCTGAAATCTGTGGTTAATTTGTGTTTAATGGTACTTATACAGAGATTATACAGACTTATGCAGAGTAGATTTTTAAATTAGAGCCCCAGAATGTCAGATATCTGTGGTCATTTATTGGCAGGTACACGGGAACTCAGTTGAATTACAGGTCCGGATAGTGTCATGCCTGATCATTGCATCATCGTTTGGGCTGAGTACGACATTCATCGGTTGACTTCACACACGGCACTGTGTCATTTTGGTTGCATAAGACTGATGATAAATCAAAAGGGAAGCAATAATGTGGCGGTGGTTTTGGTGTGAAACTTCATTTTGGCTGAGGCGTAATATACATAAACATGACTTTGACCAGCCAAAATCTTCAGTATCCCTCAGAGATTTAAACTCACTAATTACTGTTCCCACAGGTGATTATAGTGTTTGGTCTTAAGCCATGCTTTGTTGTCTAATTTTATAATGGATGGATTATGTGGGTGTAGTGAATTCAATTATTTTATCATCTTTATATGGAGAAGTTCGGTGATTGAATTTTTTATGCAAGAGAGGTGTGTAGTGTGAGAAAAGATGTTTTGGAAATGAACATTTTTGTGTTTTATTTACAGCATATGATTGTTTTTGTAGTATATGTAGAGAAGGTCTGAATTTGAGTTTATGTCAAGAAACAGTTAATTTATGGGTTTAGGTTTTGGATGATATTTATAAAATGTTTTTTCATCCATTTTCCAACTACTTATCCAGTTCAGCGTTCTGGAGTCGATCACAGGCAGCAGAGGGCACATGGCAGGGGAACATCCTGGACAGGATGCCAGTCCATCAGAAGGCGCTCTCATAAACGTGTGCACACACACACACACACACACACACACACACACACACGCATATAACCTATCTAAATACCTTCCATTTATTTCTATGGGAAAAAACCTAATCCCAATCATAACACCCTTAACCCCTACCCAGCCCTAACATTAACCAGAAGTAACCAAACAAAATACAAGACATATGGTATTTTTACTTGTTTCATTGCATTCACAAATTTTCATAAAATTGAGGTTATCCAAATAGGGACCTGAAAAATGTCCACAAAAGTAAGGAAGTTCCAGATTTTATCA